GGTTGATTGAGATCTTGGGATATGTGATTTGGAAATGAAAGGGACAGAGATTTTTGTGCTGTTTCGGGTGGATTATTTTCAAAGCGATTTGTTCAGTCAAGTTGCATATCGTGGCTTCAACCTGACACAGCCGAGTAAAACTACCGTGACCTTTGGCATAACTCACGGGTGCAGACTGGAAGTGCAGTAGCTCACTCGATCCATTGAGTGTAAACATTTCAAAAACACATAACGACAACATCAAAAATCTTTGCCGTATCTTTTCCAAACGTCATATAACAATACCACAATCAACCAATCATATTCAATGCAACAGACCATTGGACTGATTTCTCAATTTTGAATATTGTATATCAATCTATTAGCCCGAGGAAGAAGTTATCGAAAACAAGCTTTGCTCGCTTCTGTGTTTTCACAGTTCTGGTACTAAATCTTTCTAGAGATCAGGGCTGATCTCAAACCTAGTTCAACCGAGGTTCTCCCACTTTGGGCGACCATGATAGTTCTAGATCTTTTCTGAAACAATGCTATCAAACCTTACGATAGGTAAGTGTTTTTCGTGTAAATGAATTTCTTTTATTCTTGAATCATAATGACTAGTCATGTATGGGGATCCATTTGAGTCATTTCATGGTTCAGTCAGCAACCCCCTCGCCCCCTGCCAACTCGAATGCAGCTTTTTGTCAAATATCATCTATCTGTTATTCAAACTTTTGTAACAATGTCCGTTTTTTTACTTTCATATGTCGTCTTTTTTAGAAAAATTTTATCATTTTTTTCTGATACACAGACACTGTCTAACTTAAATCTATTCCTTCACCATCCGTTATGCAATAACGGCATGTTGATTTGCGCAACATGTATGATTGTTCTTGAAAAATGACCCGTAGCAAAAGTGTCAGCAATCAAACTTGATCAGCCCGCCAAAAATCATTTCGAATCAGAACAGGATCGATGAAAGCACTATTTTATTCATACGTGGAGAAAATTCTGTTTAAATTCATTCTTGTTTTATGAGAAACCTGTTGGAACAGGCATTCTTGTAATCGGTCAGTTTGACACGGCTCCGATGCAATCTTTTGATACACTGAAATGTCACAATGCCGTTTATAGCCACATCACGTGACCCCTTAGAGTAAGGATGATGATGATCAATACGTCCCTCAGAGGATCCCATTTTCCGTACACCGAGCGAAGCGGAATCACGTGGAATACTAGTTCCGGCAGCACTAGTTAGCATAATATATAAATTTGTGTGCGCGTCTTGATCTCCAGACAAATGTTGGTTCCTATATTCAACAAAATCGTTTGTTCTCTCAACGCAAAATGGCTTCAGTTTTTTGCCTTGCGTTTCAGAAGACAAAATCGCAGTTTCATTCCATGTAAATACCCTAAACGAAATCATTCGACTTGACCAAAACATTGCAAACCTACTTTGATTTACACCACGAACGTGGAAACGGATTATCTGTGTAGATGCTCATCAAGTTAGCGCAGCAACCAACTTTTTCCATTAGCTAATGTGCATCCTCACTGACAATAGGAGTTATCTTTCTATGTTCGAAGAAAAATAGTGTCCGCTAAAATCGTTCAGATTAGAATTTGATTGGTACATCATACATCAACTCAGTTTAAGCGATCTCGAGAATGCAATCATACTATCCAATCGATCACCAATTAGATGATCATATTGTTTGCATTTTTGTCACAACAGGTGTGATGCAACCCACTGTTGTCATCTTATCATTAGCCAGATAGGTTATCATGGGGTTGGAAACATCCCCATTTCTTTAAATGCGATGGAAATGTTTGTGATAACCAACAAAGAGCACTGGACAACTGTTTCGTCCTGTTTGGGACTCGTCAGCAGGGCGTACTTTTTGTATCCCTGTCAGGACTCGAACCGTGGTCAGTCGGGTCGGGACATCAGATCCTTACCCCTGAGCTACACGGTCGACGGTTATCACCTTGTGCGAATGGCTCAATCAATTTACAGTATTACGCTTAGATCCCTAATTCTTTTCAATTTTCAATAATCTTCTTCAATGATGTTTACACTACTTATTAGTAGGTAAAGTTGAAAGTCAGCATATTCGGCTACCTGAAAAATTAGTTTTTTTGGAGAATATCCTTTCATTTCACTTCCGTGGGACGTAAAATGTTGCCATATGTTTGGTTTTTTCTCAAACCTAAATCACCCCGATGCATATTAAATTATGTCATGGAGTTTCAACTTCCTCTTTCCCATCAGTCTGTCAGACTTCCTGGAACATTCGCAGTTAGTCATTCCTCTTTGTCTTAGTCTAACTTATATGGAATGTAGTATTTTGGTAATAATACCGAGTTCAGTATGACGTATAAATAGCACTGTCCATCGGTTGGCTAACTCTTGAGAGGAAATTACACCAATATCAGTTGTTCGGCAGGCAGGAATCGCAAATCAGTAATCGTACAGGTAGTTCTACCTTCAACGAGACGAGGGAAAAGGGCCACCGAACTCGATGGAATTGAGTAGTAATATGTTTAAAGAATTTTCACTGATTAATTGCATGTTCACACACTTCGGTTGTAACTGCACAGATTTTAAAAGATGGATACTATTAGCCAACGATTGGTTGTCCACAAATCGTAACGTGTTATCTCAAACGATCAGGTTGCCATAGTGACTTTCTTTCAAATTGATACAACTCAGGGCTCTGTGGCAAAGTCAAATGGCATTTCAAGGAAAACGTTTAACAATGTTATATCCAATCCAAAAGTAATCAGAGATTTTTTAACAGTTTATCATGTCATGTCAAACCGTAATAGGCAGTCTGCGAGGCGTGGTTTAGCGCGTTGAGAGAAAAGCTTGGCTAGTTCCCACGGGCAGTCAGGCTAGTTCAAAATTGTATCATGGTGAATTTAGGGCTTCCAAAGTTTGATTTTACTCTTAGTCAAATTAATCTACGGGACTGAGTAAACGTTTCCGGATGCACAGTACACGTACGAGGCGCATATGACTGAGTAAGAAAGACGTGAAGTGTAACCTTTTGTGAATATTGTTCAGTGATTACAACTGACAGAAATAAATATCAACAGCCGAGCAAAACTCACCAATCATACGAGCGTCGCTATACTCGGGCCGTAAGGATGGAACTCAGTCGATGTCCCTATAGGATGATGATTTCCAAAAAATACAAATGTAGTCTAAATCAGCAGCAAAGTTTTGATAGTTTCCAAGCTGCCTTTGGTGAAAGCGCGCCTTTAAAAACACTACATTTGAGTAGAGTGCAGAATTCAAGCGCTGCAGGCGGTCCCTGTATGATGACACACAGTGTGATTGACTTGTGGGGGCCACCACAGCGGATCTGGGTGCACAGTTCCTACCCAAAGACCAAACAACAATGGGCTCAGTGGACTCTTGTTGGTGGGGCACCGCCTCAGAAATTCTCAGGCAAGTGCAGTGACGAAGTAGATGGTGACTGTGTTCTTGGCTGCTTGTACATCAGAGCTCAATCACTGGAGAAGGGTACATTACCTATTGTCTGTTGAACACGCCAGTAGCTGTTATCAGGCGTCATTCAAGGACTCGAGCACGCGCCATGACAACGCACCTGTACACAGAAAGTTATTTGGTTTAGCAAAAAACGGCTCGGGAAATAGCTACAGAAACACATATTGTCTTTGCTAGAAGATAAACGCTCATATGTGTAAGTCAAAGTGCACATCCTGACGCAAATACATCTGATCTAGTTATACCAGCACGCAGTGTGACCGAAGTCTTTTTGCAAGCTCTGCTCTGATTCGAGTCCTCGTGGAATAAGCAGATGACACATTTATCTTATTTGGTTGACGATTTTACCCGTTAATTTTCTGACCGCCACTGTTCAAAACCATCGCCCGTTTGGATCGTTATGATAAACGAATACAATAGTTGCGGGATTAATGTAAGGTCGTTGGTCATTTGGAATGCTCGAGTTTCAGGTCAATAACTGTATTGGGCGATTGATTTAAATAGCTGGATTATGGATTTCAAACGGAAAGCAATAACTAGACAAATAATAATTTACGATTTTGCAACAAATAGACCTTCGCGATTTGCACAGTTGCCTGTAAAACATCGTGCTTTTTACTGCCGGAACGGCAGAGCGCATGGGTAACGGTAAAAATAGCTATGCATGACAACAACGAGTGCTTCTCTCTCTCTGTGTGTGTACGCGCTTTCATGAGATAAGTCACGCTGTGCCAGTCCGTCTCGCCTCAAATGAGCAGCCAACTCCGGTTGTATGATGGTGTGCCGGTATGAAACAGTCCGGTGACTGAGAGGGACCATAGGTCAAATAGTAAACTAAGCGCATTTAAAAAAAATTCAGTTTCTTTGATACAACAGGACCACAGGATTAAAGCAGTAATTAGTTACCTGTAATGAAAAGACAAGAATAAGTATTGAAAATTAGGTCACTTTCATCATTCCTGTTGACTTTATCATAAATTATTTACCCCAATTAATAGTAGATACACTATTGAAATTCAGGTAGTTTGGCAACTCATCATATATCATCAGATTGACTGTTTACTCTAATCCACTTCGGTGTTGATTCAAACGGAACCGTCTGTGATTTTTTTTCTGGTTTCACAGGTGAAAATGAGCCCTGCCCCTTACGATGAGCCACTGACTGATTTGGGTCACACCGCGCCACTACTGACGCTACCACGGTATGCGAACACTTGGCAATTTATCAAACTGCAAATGTTTTTCGACTACGGGAATGTGGTGCTCCAGTTACAATCGCAAGTCGGTGACAGTTTACCCATGGCCATATTCAACAGTGCAAATCGATTGAAATCGATTCACTTCGCACGTGACTCTGGTAAGTCAATGTTATAATTCCAGAAAGAGGTGCCTGGTCGAAGATGATTGTTTATTGAGGACTACACATAAGATATGACTAATTTGGCATACGTAACACATAAATCTCAGCGGAAACATACCATCGCAGTTCCTAGCCGCACCACAGGTAGTGAATGTGACAATCGATAACTATTCTTTGAGATAAAGCCATTTGCCCTCGATGCCCTTCTTAACCTTGATCGTACTACTCACAAATGTGAATAGTACCCCATAACAGTCAGTTTATGGATGTACGTAAGTATAAACCAGACAGAGGAGAGATTGTTTTATTTGGGATGGGAGATTATTTTACACATAAAAAACACACTAGTACCCCTTTGTTGGAATTAAACTCAAGCTTTAATTTCTTTGTTCAGAAAAATAATTCACCTATTTAAGTGGAATCGCTGTTTCCAGTGTTTAGGCTGAGAATCATGGTGCAGGGCCCCCTATAACCTATTTATTTCCGAGCGACTAACTCTTGCGGGAGGATAATTTGGCTTTTTGGATGTCTCGAATGATGACGGCCTATACGTGACGATCGGCAGCAAGTTTGACGCAATGTGCAACCCAGTTCTGTTTCCAGTTACGAATTTCATATACGGATTTGAGGTCCAGTAATTACACATCCGCATTGATCGTCTTCGGCTGACCACCGAGTCGGCAACACCATTCACGGTACGGTTCGGGGGCTACAGCCTGTCGCGAGAGCTGAGTGTCGGGCCTTCGGAGCACATGGTCAAACCACTGAAGGTGCCGGTGTTGTAGCAAATTTGAAAGCTTGTCAATGTTCAAGCAGCGCCGTCGAACCTCATCATTGGAAATCCGATCTCTCCAATTTACTTCCAAGATGCGGCGTAAGCATCAATGATCAAAGACTTCGAGCTTTCTTGTATCTTGTACTCTTAGCGGCCAGGGTTCACAACCATAAGTGAGGTTAGGACGGATGGAAGCCTGATAAACCCGAAGCTTAGTGTTCAAGCTTATTTCGCATCGAGTCTAAAACGGCTTGAGCAGTTGTAGGAACACTCTTCTAGCTCCATTTACAAGGAAGTTAGGTTTTATCCTTAGCCTTGGCCTTATAATACCAACTCGACACTTGACTGGTATTTACAAAATTAATTAATTACTGTACTTGTAATTTGGATCGCTTCGTTCCATTATCAGGTTATTCTTTGGAGAACAATATTTTTTGATCACATTATTCTGGATCGAAATTTACGTTCGTTATATAAGCTTAACCTGACCTTCTTCTCTAAAAGTATTGCAATTTTAGTTTTGTTAGATATTTTATATTCTCTCATTTCAACTGATATCTATCCGCTCCCCTCCCTCCGCTCTTCCGGGGTGGTATTTCATTTCGCAGTGAATTGGAACGCAGTAGATTGAGCCCTTTGAGTACACTCGAAGGAACAAATCAGCTTCCAATATAGGAATGATGTAGTACGAATTTGGATGAGTGTGAGAAAAAAATTATCCTAATACTAAGTGTAAACGCAATCCAATTGCATGAACGAGGCCCGTAATGAACGATTCAAATCCAAAGCGAACAAAATCGGATGATTTGACTGAAGATCAGCCCCGGCAAGGTACGGCAAAATCCGGCTATGTGTAGCACAATGCATACGTGATTATCTTACGACCGATCAACTTCTCGTGACATTACAATATCCCGTTTTCGCACTACCCTGATACCTCTCGGTCACATGACCAATGTGAAATTACTTACTTTTCATGTAGATCGTGTATGGATTGTTGATGAATAGAGCGGTCAAACTCACGAATGGATCGCATCAGCTGACTATCAGAGAGCTTGATGACAGATCAACCGATGAATCCGATTGCCCGTTTCGACATACCTTTAGACATTCTGATCAACATTCCGGACGACCAAACTGAATGCATCTCATAGTAGATTACACTTTAAGGCACCAGTTTTCTTTACGCATAAAAGCACTTTATACGGGAGCATTGCGGCAGGAAAATCCATTTCTGTGGTGATTGAGAGAGTGACTGTGAACATCTTTATATGATGATAAAATCACGGGTGCATAATTTTGTGGTTGAGCTCGCTTTGAGCGGCAAATACTACTACTACTACTACTACTACTAATAATAATAATAATAATAATAATAAAACTTAATCCTTCGCTATTATTATACTACAAATGACTTATAAACAAGAAAATTAGTGCCGAGTAAGATGGGATGCCCAGAATAAGGTGGACGTATAGAAAAAAATAGCCAGGATTGTAAAATCAGCTGGCCAGAGGTGAAAAGGGTTGCGTGCTTGCGTTCTATCTGTGAGGTCCCGGGTTCGGGTCGGGGGCCCAACCCGAACGTTCGCGGTTCGAGTCCTAACTGGGACACAAACAAAGAACGCGCCGTGGATGAGTCCCAAACAGTTCCAAATGCAGATTAACAGTGATTCGTAACTTTTAAGCTCATCTTTCGTTTGCATTGTCGTGTACAAACACGAAAAACTTCAATGGATAGCAGAATGAAATCGTTTAAATTCTCATCAAATAATGGATAATATCAATTAACGTTTTATGGCTTTATAACGCACGTTTTATTCTCATTAAGGTTATCACGCTTCCCATCCTTTGTTTTGATTGAAATTTGTTTTATTCTCAATTTACAAGAATGATTCATTCTCATATCTCTGGTTTTTCATTTCAGTAATTACTCCAGAGGAACAGAAGACCATAGTTTTGGGCTCCACGTCTCACACATTCACCGGTTGTATTCGTGATATGCGTCTGACGAGCAGCACGGGTGTGGAAACCGTACGTTTCCCGTCCAACATTCCCGGGTTGCTCAAGGGTGTGTGCCACACCTCTCTGGTCTGGTAGACATCTCATTTTCTGTCTGTCGCAAGAACCCAACGGAATGTGGAACAATATTGTGGATGATAACCATAGTTCCAATTTAGCACTTCTTGGAAATATAATTCTGGCAATTTGAAAAAGAAAACTAGCAATTCTATCCGTTTTTCTTGTTTCTCGGGCTAAAATTTTCCAAGGGTTTAGGTGTGGTTGTTGTTTTCAGTGGAAATATGATAAGCGTATCAGTTGTTGTTGTTGCTTACACTCCACTGAACAATCTCAGATATGGATTCGACCAGTTCCTGACCATGTCGATTGGTGTCATACCAACGGCACACAAACCAAGGAATCAACTGTAGAGGAATCCAACCTCGTGGATGGTCACGGGACAGCGAAGGAATTCACCAAACCTGTGGATCCACAGTCGCGTCAGCTGATGGTCCCGGGGATAGCGGTCCTCGTGTCACTGAGGCGTAACATTGAAAGGCCCGTCAAGCTTCCTGGATAGTTCATGTTCAACGTCAAACACGAGTGAAACGTTACCGGTTATCCGGAAATTAGTTTAGTAGATTTCGAGGTGGATTTTGATGCACACTTACAATAAACAGTAATTTGTCACGTGAAGAGGATATTTGATTTTTAGTAGAACAAAGTATTTCACATCAATGTGAACATGTTAATCCTAAAACAGATCACCGAGTGCGTTTCGATAATCAGAGACATACAATTTATGAGGTGATGTGAGGGCGAACACGAGAATGCAAAACCAAGGTGAAACAAACAAAATCTTGGGAAATGAAAAAAAACAATAGAAAAACCACAAAAAGAACGCTGAACCGGGGTGTGAAAGGATAGGAAAGAATTCGATAAAAAGCTGAATCCTCTGAATAACGCCTTTTTGTGTATCAATAAAAATATAATATATGATATAATATAATATATAAAATACGATTAATGACGGAAATTGCAATACCATTACTACTACCACTACTGCTACTGTTATTACCAGTATTATAAT